TTTCCACCCTTCGTCACTTGGAATGTTCATTTCCGTTTGGTTCATTATTGGTGTTGTTTTGATTTCATCTAGTGTATTTTTGCGCAAGCCGGCAACATCGCTTGGTGTTGGAAGCGCGCCGCCAGGCGATAACGTATCAGATATGGTTTCAATTTTGGAGGTTAGTTTCTTATTTGTGCAAAAATTACATACCCACTTATCGATTTGGCCGGTTTCTTTGAGGTCCGTGTATTCCTTCTCACTAAGTTTTTCGCATGCAATGTGAAAATCAAGCTTACAACCAGTTTTGCAGTTAATATTATCGTCGTATCTGTTAATCTTTTTTGCACATCTAATGCAGAACATTGAACAGTGTTATAAATATTAAAATTACAAACAAAAAATTGTCCTATTAATTTTTTTAGAAAAGTCATTTATTGGACACTTTTGCAAACTTAGAGTCTTTCTAACGGGATTTAAATAAAGTCACAATCAAGCAAATTCACAAAATCACATTTTCACTTGTAATCTTATATGTATATTATTAAAACAATCTCATCTTCCGTTGATTAAATTGCAGATATGATATATGATTAAAAGGTTCGAATTCCACGATATTGTAGATTTGTGTGGGGATAAGATTGTTTTGTTGAATTTTTGAAAATGTCGGATTGTCTCATTGCCTTCCTGTTATTTAAATTGAAGTCAAAGGTGAAAAACCTTTCAATGTTACAAAATGTACATACACACAATGCTGATTTTTGTTCAAGATATAAATGAACAGGCATTTTAGAAAAATTTTTATTTATTGATAATGAACACAGACTTTTACAAGACAATAAAAGTACTATTTAAGTCTATCAGCAATTTGTAAAAATACCTAAGCACAAATTGTACAAGGCACATGAAAGAAACTTTATTCAGACATCAGAAACAAATAATTATAAAAACAAAATTTGGATTTGCAACGGAACATCCATTTCTAAGGGACAAATCAGTTGCAACCCTTACGCTACATAAGGGCCCGTGTGAGCAACAATTTGAAAAACATTCATTCGAAAATGTACCTTAACGTTAACATTAAAACTATTTTAATTCTAGCCAGTGTTTTTTATGAGGGTTGCGAATGCCCGGCTCCCTTCTTCCCAATCAAAGATTTGTGAATATGTGGGATGACACCTCCACCAGCAATTGTGGCTTTAATGAGGCTATCCAACTCTTCGTCTCCTCGAATGGCCAATTGCAAATGACGAGGAGTTATTCTCTTGACTTTTAAGTCCTTACTGGCATTGCCTGCCAATTCAAGCACCTGCAACAATAATACTTTGATTCACAATGGCACTGAGAGAACTTTTTTCTATCTCAGCTATTTAGACAGAATTTATTCAGGGTTGAAAGTTTTGCCTGCACTGCCATCAAAAATATAAATAAAAAATATATATAAATAAAAGATTGTCAACAAAAACGCTCAGTTCTTTTTCAACAATTATCAAAATATTTCGATTAAAGTGCTAAACTTGCACAGAAAATTACAAGACGGGTTTTAACTGATAGTGTATCTTTTCAAGAATTATTAAGATATGCACTCTGTATTATTGTGCGAAAATCGCACAGTAAATGGCAAGACTTGCTTTGAATTTTATAGTGACTCATGATATTGACTAATTATTATCGACTCGAACTTGGCGCATGTTGAATATGTTAATAAAAAATGCAATTAATCTATTTTTGTTCACTTGCAATGTGTATTAATTTCAGCACTATGTATCGGAGGGCACAAAAACAACGATTACAGATTTCTTAGTTACCGCAAAACAAGAAAACAATATTATAAAAGCATATACAATTTAGAAGTCGATTAATTACAATGTTTATACATAACAAAGCTACCCAATTTAAAAAAAAAATTCTAATAATTATAATCTTAAGAACAAAAATTTTAATGCATATCTTAAAATAAATGCCTTTATGTAGGCAATGTTTATCCATTTGCATTGACGCTGTTGCAGTGAGATTCAGGTTTCATTTTTTTAACGCTAAGTGTCTTTAATTTAACGCAATGTATTACTAATATTTTTTATTGAAATGTAGTATGCGGTAAAACTACGATGGTCTGGTTTTTATCGAATAAAAATTTGCTGTACAGGACCAATTTTTTTCGAGACAAACTGTGTCAGATACCTATTAGAAATTATTTTTTTATGAAAAAAGTTTATGCATATAAACATATTCCCTAACTTGCTTTGTTTTTGACGCTATTTCTTTTGAAGCTTAACCCTTAGTAAGGCGCGGGGGGTGCACACGATCCCAGCATATGTTTATTGAACCATATAACGGTTTTGTACTACCGTTATCAGCGTTTGTCAGTGTTTGGTGCTTTTACTTATAAAAATGTATATGCTCATTTGCACCCCACGCAACCATAAGTGTAACTTGGACTTGCTAAGGTATTTTCTTCAATTTATGTAGTTCATGTTGTTATAATGAAATAAGTAACCAAAGAAGACAATTCTGCTTCTCTTTCTAAGTCTAGAAAGAGAAGCTCGCCGAATCTGTGAAAGTGACGGCAGTTGAGATGAATCATTTCCGAAAGAAATAAATGAACTAGATGGCGAGGAAGGTGAAGATCATTTGAGCAGAGTCGATGTCCAACCAGATGTTGCATAATCTTGCCAAAGAAGATCTAAACAGTAACTTGCAGAGTTTTTTGCGTTGATAAATAAGTCTTCGGGGCATAAAGTAAAACGTTGAGTTTGTTTGAGACAATTGGCTCAAAATCTAGCAACTGAGCACATTAACGTTAGAAAAAGTATACATCTCTTCCAAGACCCCTGAAGCAAAAACTAGATGAATCTTTATGAGCAGGACCTACTTCGCCAATACCAAACGCATCTCAAAAAATGTGCTATTTTTGTACCAGAAAGAGGGACAAGAAAACTAGAAAAAGTTGTAGCAGCTGTACAAAACCCATTTGCGATCTTCACTCCAGCTTCTTGTGTTTTTTTTACAGATTTTTGTCTTGTTAGTTATGTTTAATGGAAAATGGTGTTTTTTCTCCTTCAATAAAACAAGTATTAAAATGTATCAACTGATCGTATTTTGAAAACGAATTCCCAAAGGTTCAAACAAAGCATTCTCTCGCAGAAAATGTTGAAAAAAAAAGTAAATGAAAAAATATGGCCATGGGATCAAAATTATCCCACACGCCTAATTATGGTAGCTGAATTGGGCGTGCATAACCAAGGGTTAAATGAAATTTTTGTTTTTACTATATATTTTTTAGTTCAGAAATTCAACGTTTCTATTAGTTTCGTGGTAAATCCTACAAGGCGCGACAGTAGTCTGAACCGTTTTAAACAACGACATTTTATGTTGAAGAAATGAAGTTAAGGAATAAAATTAATAAAATAAAAATAAAATTCCGGTGGAATATCCGTATTGATGGAGCCAATTGATTTAAATTATTGAAACTGTAATGAGGTTTTAACTACGACTCGGAATTTTAAAACTAAAATTCGAATACTCGTTTAGTGGTTTATTCGAATAGTAAAATTATTCGAGTACTCGAATATCTAACGAATATTCGAATAATCGAGTATTCGAGTACTCGAATATTTGAGTAGGTATTCGAGTAGTCGTTTTCCAACAAGTTTTCACCCTTTTCCAAGAAGAAAAATCGTTCTCATATAATTTTTGGCAACTAGCCGCAACGGATAAAAAAAGTGCCTTTGTCGGCACATTAATTGTAACACCGCGGAAAAGTTGATGACGCGAATCACCAGAACACAGAGACGTAATTTTATATTCATTTGCAGGAGAGTAAATATGATTATTTTCAATTGCTTGTCAATATATGGGTATTTGTTTAAATGCTTGTAGAATATGAATAATTAATTTTATAAAAGTATACAAAATGCAATAAAGATATTTGCACCTTGTGAGTTTGATAATGTTGGTGCATTCGAGTATTCGAGTTATGACTAGACATAATTATTCGCTTTTTGAATATTCGAGTACTCCAATTATTCGAGTTTGATGCCGAACCCTAGTTTTAAGTATGCTAACCCAAACTGACACAAGCTAACCCAAATTAAACAAATTGCTACAAAATCAGTCTAAGGAAAACATAAATACAGAGGTGGCAACATCACTTCTTAAATGACATTTGTTTCGTGTATTGTCATTCTTTAGTCAAGCAGGATTTCACAAACAAAACAGAAATACTGGTCGAAATCGAAGAAATTTTTAACAAAGTGCTGGGAATGGGATAAACTATAATGTTAGTACTCTTTAATTATCGTGAACCAAAAGCGGCAGAAAAGTGCCAGGTCTTAACAATAACTCAAATGTATATTTCTTTCAATTTTCTATTTTCTTAAAACGTTGACATGCCTTTTTGTTTCATCCAATAACATTTTCTATTTAAAAATATCCTAACTCTTTAGTGGTTTTTACAGTTTTCGCGTCTAATAATAAACTCGCCAAAGCTGTCTAAATGTACGGACCAACCCTTTCTTGGCAATGTTTCCGGTAATGTTCAGTACTTGGTCAGAACAATAATAATATTACAGCAATGTATGGGTAATCCGAACAACAAGTTTGCAGAGCCTGTTCAGTTTACCAAAACATCCAGATTACAGTATTCATACTAAACTTGTAACATACTAAACTTGGAAACACGTTCGGTTTATAGTACAGTATGTACAGGGTCAGTGATCGAACTTTGGCCACCCCGTGTTTACATCTAATTTGAAATTTAGCAAAAAATATTAAATACAAAGTTGTCGATATTAACATCTAGTTGATTTGAAGGTAATTTTAATTGATACGGGGGTCGTGCCTCAAAGTCAAGTGGCAAACGAAAATTACATTTTTTTATAGAATGCCATACTGTATATTGCATTTTCGAACTATATGCACAATTCTAGGCCTATTCGACATAAATATTTAAAATTAATTTTTATTTAATTTTCTCTATAGTTCGGAGACCAAAGGTCACGTGTTCAGATTATGATAGGTATTTTACATAAATAGGGCGTTCGGATTATAGGGGCATACATTACTGTATTTATCTAGGCTACTAAACAAGGTAAAAAGCATGTTTAACAAAAACGAGTTTTTCCCGCCATTCCTAGCATGAACCAGAAAACGTGTAAATGAAAACAAACAACAACCCCAAAAGTTGTAAAGGTAAAATCTTACCTCAGCAGTTAAGTATTCCAGAATAGCGGCGGAATAGACGGCGGCCGTTGCCCCAACACGACCATGGCTTGTAGTACGATTCTTTAGGTGCCGATGAATTCTTCCGACTGGAAACTAGAACACCAAACATAACCTTATTTATGGGTCGTCCTACTTTACCAATTTTTATTAAACTGATCAGAAAATTGAACGTATGTAAATTAACTGTAGGATACAAAATGGAAACTTACCTGTAATCCCGCACGGGCCGATCGAGAAACCGCCTTCGCTTTAGCTTTGCCGCTGTCTTTGCCTGCTTTACCGCCAGCCTAGAAACATTTACATATTATGATGGTACCGTGTATTATACAACTGCATTTTAGCCAAAATCATTCTGAACGTGTAAGGAAACTGACGCACAGCAAACGGACAATTGATTTGTTTAAAAGCTCACCATATTTTTCCAGTTAAAAGAACGCCACAAATTTCACTACAGTCAATATCCAAACTCAAGCACGGTTGCAACGAACATAACCCGCCAAACGTCGAAATTACCCGAATACGCCTGCTTGAATCGGTCACGTGATGGGTTTCTGCCAACCAGCTAGACGGAAAAGGCCGCTAGGCTCTGTCTATTGATTGGTCAATTTATGACGCTTGCCTGGCCTGACTACAGAATAGTTTTGGAGGGAAAACGAAAATTATCATTTTTCTATATTTCTATTCAAATATTTCCTGCGTTTATATAACTGTTCAGATGACATTCGCTATTTTTCTCGTAGATTTAAAACAAAGAAAGTCTATAAACGTACATGAAGCTTAGGAACACGTTGGGACGTTGTGCTAATAGTACAATTGTGCGTCAAAATGGTTCTATAATTGTGCATGTTTTGATAATTCTTAAATTGTTAATTGAGTGTCTACAATCAATTTCTTCAAGAAAAATTGTCCAGAAGCATTAATTGTGGATTTTTTATTAATGGGATAATGACACAAAAGCCAAATCAGTTCAGTCTATTGCAACGTCATAAACGAGTCTCGTATATTTGTATTTGTAATGTACCTACATATTTACCAGAAAAATATATACGTAGGTCTGGTCGAAAATGAAAAAACAATAAAAACTTACAAGCAAAAATGATTTTTTAATTTAATCATTTTCTTTAACAAAAGCGTTAACTTTTTTTTTTCATTTAATCTAGTTTTCTAATTATTTTGAGATCAGTCGGCAAACAATTGTAAAGTCTAATATATGTTGATCGGTTCATGTGTATTTATCCTGATTTCACTTATGTACCACATATTCACATTATTTACATAATACATAACATAGTTTACATGTCTTTAAGAGACGTCTTCAAAGAATAATCTCTATATATATAAAAATGAATGTATATCTGTTTGTCTGTTCATAAAAACTCCAAATTTAACCATGATCGCACCGAGCCACAAAGCTGAAATTCTGTATGTTTCTTTATTTATTGGGGAGTAACTTCCTGACAAAATTTCAACTTCCTAACTCTTTTAGTTTTTGAGTTAAAATATATTTTTACGGTGTTTCTGCACTGTCTCGCTGTAAGCCCGCTCATAGAGGGCTTTGAGTTGTATATTTTATCTTCATGTTCTATAACAAGCATTTAACTGCGGCCAGAAATAAAGGGGGCGGCCGGTAGAGGGCACTGTACATAATTAGGTTAATTTAACATTGTAGACCACATCCCCATGGAGTCCCTAGAGGACCAGGACTAGCTGTAAGTTAGTTTAGGTAACAAGAGAAGTTGTATTAGATTTAGGTCTAAACATAGGGGTAATGTGCCCACATTAGGTTAAGGTAGATTAAGGTAGGTTAAGTCAGGGATGTCAGCCTGCACAGAGTGTAAAACACTCTAAAGATGTTAGAATTAAGACTCGTAGATAAGTTAGCAGTAAGAAATTTGTAAAAATTTGTCTGAAATAAATAATGT